CTTTCGAAGAATTTTCGGCGATAATATAATATTTTTGATGTGGGAAAACCAAGGGCCTCTTATGCAAAGCTGGGGTGGGTTTACGTCAGCCGTGTATTCACCGCAGCTGAAATCGTCTTTACCAACAAAATGCTCTACCAACAGGGTTGATTCAGCCTCCAGGCCTAGGTCAGGCTGCGTCCATACTTCGCGATTCGGTACCGGAATTCGAGAAATGCGAGCCTATGACGCACCACAGTCCACAGCCAACCGCTTTACCGCTGCGACTGCGAATCTAGACACATTCAGGATAGTTTTTGCTCTGTCCCTGCAGTGGTCCACAAATTACCAATGGGGCATGGTCGGACGCAGGCGAGCGACTGAATCTATTCCGTCGCGTAGCATGAACGCTGCCCTGGGCAAAAGTCTTGGGTTCGCTAGGCTGCCTTCATACTTTGCAGCAGCAACGTGCAACGCGTTTTGAGCGAGCGCCAGCAGCTAGGAAAGTTTAGTTATCGACCTGCGGACGCCATCGTCCACCAACGTATAGAAGAGTTTTTGCGGGCACTTTTGAACTTGAGCAAAACTGCTTCTGAAAAGGCTGGTGGACGCTAGTGGACGCTATTGCAAAGTATGAACGCAGCTTTATGATGAACTTGCTATGCATAGGGAGCTCTTCAAATGTCCCCAGGGTTATAAGAACCACACTTTCTCATTGATTTTCATCAATTTATTGAACATGCTTATCTCGCATTTTAAACCACACCCTCCTCCTACCCCTCCCCCTCTTAGCGCATGCACTTGAAACATGCTGACTAGACACGCCCACAATAAATAGTTGTACACACACTAAAAGGGAGAGCCGATGTGAGAAATCAACCAATTCACCTTCGTTTTATTGGTTGGCTTTATATCAACGGTTTTCAGCTGCCTTACTGTAGCTGTAACGTGTCGGCGCAGCGAAGTCCTCCTCCTAATCCCCTACAGGACCAGCTTACTAGAGCGCAGAAGATCACGATTCGGGCGGTCTTGTCGGTAGGCTGGCGTAGCCACTTTTGAGCGTAGTTTTGCGTGAAAAGGAGCAACCTCTGCTTCAATGACATCTCGTGAGGATACGGTAGTGCACTCTGACGGCGTTGACTTGCTGCGGCACGGTAGGCGCGACCACGTTGAGCTCACAAAATAGCCGTTTCCGCGTTCTTTCCTCGTCAGGTAGGGGTACCGTGCGGGTGGAAGGCAGCTTTCCTCATTTGCTTGAAGGACAGCCTCCGCGCATAAAGTAGTCAAGATATGCTCCCTTCCCCGCTTGTTCCGCTCAATACCATTTTCTACAACTTATTTCCATGTGCCGCTTTGTTTTATCATGCTGTTCATTAATTGCATGCTGCCGCTTATCGGTCAATGTTTTCAATAACTATGTTGTGTTTTGTTCTGCTTTACTAACCGATAATAAATCATAATCATAATCATATTGCATGCTCAGGGAAACCAGTAGCTATGATAAGTAATTGCCTAATGATAGGGAAAAAACAAACGGAAGCCCTCAAGAGCACCACTGCTCCCTTCCAGGTACACGCTCTTGTGGCTCAGTGAGCAACACCTGGCTCACAATCGCTTTTTCATGGCATTTCCCAGCAAGTGCGATAAAATCCAGTATCAAAGGAAAAGAAATGAAAATAAACACAAAGACACGATATGAAAACACTTTGGAAACGAAAAAAAATTTCAGAACTGGCAGGCTTGTCGAAGTTGGGGCTACGCTGCAGTATGCCGCTTTTTTGCTTTGTCGAGCTTTTGCACCACAGAAATTGCATCATTCGTGATTTTTACGCGTTTTACCTTACGAGATGGGTTGCAGTTGACTGTATGTGCTCCCAATGAATAAAATGTGATGAAGGAGAGCAGAATTATTTATGGGCACGAGCGCGGTCAGCAAAAAGTACATGCAGTTCCGATTAATGCCCGCCGTCCCAACAAAGAACAACTGAGCGGCTCTCCGTCAGAGGGCAGCTAGCAAGTGGGGCGGTCCAACTGGGCGGGCGTTAGAACTAGAACTTTGAGCGGCTGTAGCTCGCTCCTCGCTCACTGTGGAGTCGCGAGAGTGGGACAGTAATCTATTAGCCGTTGTCCGGAAAGCTTCCTTTTTTCGCCGGTTTTTTTCTGTGCACCTATTTTTTCTTCTTCTTCTTCTTCTTCTCCCTAGCGTTAGTCCCGCGCCGTCGCAGGGTCCGCTGATCTTGTTAGACGTCGCCACTTGTTCCGATCCACTGCATCTTCTGCTGTGGCTTTCACTTCAGTGAGGTCCCTCTTGATGACGTCCCTCCACCTTTTCTTCGGGGCTCCTCGTGGTCGCTTGCCCTCTACCTCGAGTTCCAATGCCTTCCTTATTGGGTGGTCTTCGGGCCTCCTCAGTACATGACCGTACCATCGCAGTCGCTGCTCTCGTGCCTTCAGCTGGATAGGAGCCGTCTGTGTGACTGCTCTGACGTCCTCGTTTCTGACTCTGTCGAGTCGTGTCCAGCCGCAGGCCCATCTCAGCATCCTCATTTCAGCTGAGTGGAGCTGCCTTTCATGGTTCTTGCAGATAGGCCAGCACTCACTGCCGTAGAGCATTGTAGGCCTTACCACAGCCCGGTACACCTTGCCCTTGAGCGTTCTCGAGCACCGCCGGTCGCACAGGATGCCAGTGGACTCCCTCCATTTCATCCAGGCTGCGTTGATTCGGGCCGTCACCGCCTGGTCCACGCTGCCATCAGCTGCTAGGTTGCTCCCCAGGTACTGGAAATCCTCGACCCTTTCGATGCTCTCGCCATGGCGATCTACGATGACTTCGGCGCACTCTTCGGAGCTTAGGAACTTGGTCTTCTTTACGTTCAGCCGGAGTCCATTCGCAGCGAGCACATCCTGCCACCGCTGCACTTTGTCCTGAAGTTCCTCCCTGCTGTCCGCTATCAGGGCGATGTCGTCAGCATAGAGGATGGTTTTCAGTGGTCCCTCCATGAGTTCTTTTGCCATGACATCTAGAGTCAGGAGGAAGAGGAACGGGCTGAGGGCTGACCCTTGGTGTACCCCAACCGTAATGTTTACCTCCTTTGTCAAGCCGTGAGGGGTGCGTACAGCTGCTTTAGCCCCATCGTACATGTCCTTCACTATGGAGATGAGGTGTTCCGGAACGTTACGTTCTCTGAGCGCTCTCCAGAGTACAGGCCTTGGCAGGCGGTCGAATGCCTTCTCAAGGTCCAGGAAGGCTAGGTAGCAGGGTCGCCGCTTCTCTCGGTACTTCTCCATCAGCTGTCTGGCGATGAAGATGGCATCGGTGGTGGACCTCTCGGGCATGAAGCCGAACTGTTCCTGCGAGATCGAGGGACAAGTTCCCTTAGCCTTGTGTTGACCAGGCGCTCGTACAGCTTCATGGTATGGGGAGTCAACTTGATGCCGCGGTAGTTGGAGCACTCCGTCGCGTCCCCTCTGCTGAAGATGGGAACGATTGTGCTGCTCCTCCACGCATTCGGCATCCTTCCTTCAGCTGTTACGTTGTTTAGGAAGTGCGTGAGCCAACTCACCCCATGCTCTCCAAGGGCCTTCCATGCCTCTATCGGTACCCCGTCTGGACCCACTGCTTTCCCAGCTTTCATTCTCCCTAGCTCCCGGCGAACTTCATCCTTCGTCCAGGGAGTGATGGGACCTGCCGTCGCCTCTATCTGTGGCTATCCTTGCGAGGGAATTCTTCGTTCAGAAGTCCCTCGAAGTATTCTTCCCACCTCTTCCTGACTTCGGCTGGTTTCCTGAGAATGGCCCCGTTGCTGCTCTTCACAGTCTTTACGACCCTGATGTCCTGAGCTGCGCGATGCCGAGCTTTAGCCAGGCGGAAGACGAACTTGTCCCCTTCTCGGCCTTCCAGCTTGTCGTACAGGGCGTCCATTTCCGTATTCTTGGCCTTAGCAACGGCCGCCTTAGCGAGTCGCTTGCAGCTCTTGTAGGCAGCGTAGTCTTCTGGGCTCCGTGTCTTTTGCCAGCGTTTGTATGCTTCCTTCTTCTGCTTGACGATCCTCTGGACTTCCTCGTTCCAGAACCAGGCTGCCTTGTCTCCTCTGATACCACCCGCGTCCCTCCTCTCTCCCAGGACCTCCCTTGCACACTGTAGGATGACCTCTGCTGCGTAGGTCCAGGTGTCCTGGACTGGCCCATGTGGGTCTGGGAGCCCAGCCTCCAGTATTCTTCGGCCGAGGCTATCCTTTTCTACCCTGCCCATTTTCCACCGAATTCTTCGCTCTCGTGTGGCGCGCTCAGCGCGCGTTGTCTTCTGGGTGACACGTTCGTATTGGGCGATTTCGTGCTCGGAGGAGAGGCCTGAGGCCCGGTCCCCCGCACGAGGTACCTCGACATCTTGATGGGTGAGAGACGATCTTCTGACCAGGACATGGTCGATTTCCGTTTGTCTCCCTCCACTGCTGTAGGTTACCTTTTGGGTCCTCCTTTTCGCGAAGAAGGTGCTGCAGATTGCTAAGTCGTGGGCTGTTGCTAGGTCAAGGATTCGTCCTCCCTCAGCGTTCTTTGTCCCTATTCCTTGACCTCCGTGCACCCTTTCTAGACCCCTTCTGTCCCTCCCAACATGGCCATTCAGATCTCCAGCTATGGTGAGATAGTCCTCTTCC